GTGTGTGTGTGTGTGTGTGTGTATGGACATAGGACTAGAATGGGCAGTAGTAGTACTATAGCTCTGTGTTTAGATGTGAAGGAACTGTCAGGCTGTTTCCAAAGCATTAGTACCATTTTACATTCCTACGAGTAATGTAGGATAGTTAGATTGCTCTACATTTTCTCTAAACTAATCTTTCTTGGTTTATTATAGCAAACCTCTAGTGGGATCAGAGTGGCATTTCATCATAATGTTGCTTTGCATTCCTAGCAGCTAATGATACTAAACATCTTTTCAGAAGTTAGTGATAATTTGTGTGTCTTCATTAGGTGGATTTTTATTTCTCTTGTTCCATTTTAAATTCGACTGTCTTTTATTACTGAGCTGTAAATGTTCTTTGCCAAGTTCTTTATTTTGTAGATATAAATTCTCTATCAAATACCTCATGTGGAAACATTATAACAATTGTTTTTCCATTTTCTTGATGATTTGTTTGAAGAACAATATTTTTGATGAAGTCTAGCTTATTATTTTCCTTGTACATTCCTTAATCCATGGCCCCATGATTTGCCCTTGCATTATTTGTCTGTGAGGTTTATAGTTTTGGCTCTCCCTTATTGTCTTAGTTAGAGTTTCTATTGCTGCAACAAAATACCATGACTGAAAAGGAAGTTGGAAAGGAAAGATATTCTCTTACACTTTCATATTACTGTTCATCACCAAAGGAAGTCAAGACAAGAACTTGAGACAGGAGTTGCTGTAGAGGACATGGAGGATACTGCTTCCTAACTTGATCTCCATGGCTTGCCCAACCTCCTCTCACATAGAACTCGGAACCACCAGCTTAGGGATGGCATCACCCATAGTTGGCTGGGCCCTCTGACATCAATCACTTATTAAGAAAATGCCTTAATCTTACGGTATCAATTTCTCAATTAAAGTTCCCTCCTTTCTGGTAACTGTAGAGTGTATATCAATCAATTGACATAAGACAAGCCAGCACACTTAAATATGTCTTTGATCTATTTTGAATCTTCTAGATGTTAGTATTTATAGATCAGCAGATATAAGCAATATTCATAGGTTCTTCTGTACCTATATTAGTATATAATGAGTTTCTATATGAATTACTATAACTTAAAACTTTTCTATTAGAGATTCACAATTGTTTTCTATCTTCATCATAGTCAGTGCTTTATAAAACACTGTATACTTAAGCAAACAGGCTGCTAATGGTGAAACTACTTTGTCAAGGCATTTTCATATTTTAAGTTTTGATATATAACATTGTGCTATTTTAATCTTTATTGTATATTACATTATTTTCATAGATGTAATGCTGTAAGGGAATATATTGGAATGGAGATTGTGACACCTCTTAGTTGTTTGCTGTTAAAATGATTGCTTTAGAATAGTAATAAAAAGAAAAAACATGAACTTATATTTGGAAGATAATCACTCACAAATTTATCTATTTCCTAAGAACATCAAAGCAAAACTTTTTACTACAATATAAAATATTTCTTGAAAATGAATTATATTTTAATTTATAAGGATACACATTTCAGAATTATTCTAGAATTACCTATAAACAACTTAAAACATTGAATTTTTTTAAAAAAATTTGTATTTTGGATATTTTCTGCATTTTAAAATATTTTTAATTAGCACTGTCACCATCAACTCTAAACTATATGTTTTTTATTCATAGAAACAAAATAATATAGTGATAAATTTTCATGAGTTTCCTAGATCAAAGAATGTGATTGGGATTGTAGTCTCCTGTTTTCTACTTTTTCCACATTAAAACTAAGCACAATTATGAATAGTCATGCTTAGTTATATTCCAGGTTAACAGAATTGTTGAGATTCATTATTCTTCACTGAATACTAGTAAATTTTATTAGATATCTTAGGTGATTTCAAAGGAAACAAAAGTTTTTGGGATCTAATTAGTAAGGAATTAATAAAGTGAAAATTTATACTCACCAGTATGAGGCTTTTGTCTTGCCTTCTTAGCATGTGAAAATAATTTCTCTGAATGTTCAGTTTAACCCCAGTGTTTATATGCTACACATAATGCTATGTAGAGATTTGTTGTTAAACTTACACTGCTCTTATAAAGAATATCATTGGAATTGCCTGGGAGGATAGACAGGGAACCCTGTAATTTTTAAGAGAAACAATTTGAAACAAATTTTAACTTCAATAAAGGCAACATGCCCAGAAGTTACTCTAAGATACAAATGTTGTATTTATTCTTTGAGGAATAACTTATGGTGGTAACACTGGTAGAATATAAATTCTGATGAAATGCTTCATGCTTTGTGATAAATAGAATGTACTTTATGTCACCCACATGTTTACCAGTGTTCCTCTTGCAGCCTTTGGATATACCAGATGGTCGAAGAGCTCCACTCCCCGCTCACTACAGGAGTAGTAGTACCCGGAGCATAGATACCCAGACACCCTCTGTCCAAGAGCGCAGCAGTAGCTGTAGCAGCCACTCCCCTTGTGTGTCTCCATTTTGTCCTACGGAATCCCAGGATGGAAGTCCTTGTTCAACAGAAGATTTGCTCTATGATCGTGATAAAGGTGAGAATGAAGTCATCTGTTTATACAGATGGCTTGCTTTTGCTCATTATAGTCTGTGTCTTGGACCATTACCCCACTTTTCCCCTTTGTGGAATGGCGAGATTGTAAAAGATGAGTTATTACAGGTTTGTTTGTTCATTGGTTTCACTTTCCTCCTTTGTAACTCTCAAACATCTTCCATAAATGTGTCAGATAAGCACAGTGCTATAAAGTGGATTGACTACAACTACATGTCAGTATTTCCTATTCCTTTTTCTTTCCCAGAGCTGATGATGGTTATGATACGGTTTATATTTCTTCTGTGTAAAGGTAGAGTTTATATTCAGTGATTTGGGAGGAATATTTTCTGAGAGTGCCTTGAGAATGAGTGTTGTGTGAAGGAAGGTACACATGTGCATGTATGCATATGTGAAGACGAAAGTAAAACATGAGATGCCTTCCTCTGTTTTTCTCTACTTTTCATTGCCTTAAGACTTACTAAACCAAACGCATGCTTTTTTGGATGAGAATGACTGGCTAATGAGCTCTCAGGATTTCCCAGCCTCTGTGCCTACCAGTCTGTAGCTTATAGGAACATTCAGTCCTGCCCAGTTAAGATGTGGGTAGTGGGATGTGCTGGGACCAGAGCCTAGCATAGTTCTCATCAGAGAGACTTTATCCAGCAATTGATGGGAACAGATGCAGGCCCTCACAACTAAGTATTAGGTGGAGTCCTGTGGAAGAGGGCGAGGTCAAGGAGACCATATGGTTTGACCTCTGCATATGTGCTGTGGTTGTGTAGCTTCGTGTTCTTGGTGTGCGATTCATAACAGTAGGAGCAGAGTCTGTCTCTGACTCTTCTGCCTGCCTTTGGGATCTTTTTCCTGCTACTGGGTTGCCTTGTCCAGCCTTGATGTTATGGTATGTGCCTGGTTTTATTGTAGCTTCTTATATGTATGGCTGATGTCTCTTTAAGACATACTCTTTGAGGGAAGGTGGGGGGGGGGTGGACCCAGGGGAAGGGGGAGGTCAGAGAAGAGAGACAGCTGGGGATGGTGGAAACAGAATGTAATATATGAAAGAAGAATACATTTAAAAAGAAAAAATGTGGGTGATAGAGATTTGAACTTGGGTCCCCAGGCTTAACTGGATAGCAGATTCTCTAACCCATTGAGTCATCTCTCCAGGCTTTCCATTTTTTTGTTTGAAACAGGGCTTCTAATGGAACCTGGAATTCATCATTTTGGTTACATTAGATGCCCAGGGAGTCTCTAGAATCCGCCTGTCCTTACTTTCCAGCCCCAGGTTTCAGATGCACACTGATATACCCAGCAGTGCATAGGTTCTCATGCAACAAGTACTTTATCCGCTGCAGTTTTTTCATTTTTATCTTCCTAGCTCTTCACCACATTTTTTTCAAGATAGGATCACTCACTAAACCTGGAGCTCACCAACTCAGCTAAGCCAACTGGCCTTCGAGCTCCAGAGTTCTAGACAAACACTGCTCTGTATTTTTAAGTAACTAGAGAAATTTTAGACTGTATAGAGTGTATAGATAGATTCTTGCTAACTGTTGGAAAACTGATATTTCTCACTGCCTATCAGGTCCAAATAGTTTTTCTGTGCTCCTGCTATCTTTGGGTTAAGTGTTTGAACATCACAGTTTACATGGTTCCTATTCTGTCCCTAAGGCCTAGCTGCAGAAGGCATATCAGTTGCTCACCTTCTATTTTCTTTGACTACTTTCAAAGAAACTGAATTTATTTTTTAAATAGAAGTCATTAATAACAAAAAGTTTAAATATCTTAATTTTCTATGATTTATTTTGTGCTGTTGTTACATGTAAAATATGTGGATCCTAAGTGTTCCGCCTGAAGTTTTATATATGTGGGCATCCGTGAAGGGGAGGCTCAAGGTGCAGATACAAAGCAAGAGTCTAAGTGTATCTCATAAGGTGCTGTCAGCCTCCCCATGTAGCATCCTCCCCCTGGAAGTCATCACTATTCTGTCTTCCTACACCACAATGTATGGTTTTCCTGTGAAAGGAATTTCACAGAAATATGCTTTTGTGTCTGGTTTATTCTGCATATTTCTTAAAAGGTAAATGAAAGCTATTTGGGATTTTGTCATCTTATTTTATATCTTTTAAATAGTTCTCCCTTTGATCCTTTTCCTTATTGCAGGGTTTGTGGACATATTCCATTAAGTGTGTTAAAGATACCTTTAGACATCTTTCTTTGCTTAGACCGAAAAACTTGACATTTCACTAAGAAATTGTGTAGAGGGCTGGTCATGTAGGCACGCACCTTTAATTCCAACACTTAGGAGGTAGAGACAGGCAGAGCTTGGTTGACATAGTAAGTTCTGGGCCAAGTAGGGCTACATAGTGACACCCTGTCACAAAACCAAACAACAAAACAGGAAAAAGTTATGCTAGAGCAATTGTGGGGGCACATGAAGTTGGGTGGGTGGGAGGATTTAGAAGGATTTGGGAGATGGGAAAGAATACAATTAAAATATGTCGTATAAAAGAACTTTTAAATACAAAAAAGTTACCTTAAAATCAGTTTCAGATTCTGGAGTTGGAGCTACTAAAGCAAGGCCTAAAGCCATACTCCTTTAGAGGCTGGAGCAGAGGCTTGCTCAGTATAATAAGGCTGGCAAGAACTGAGGAATAAAAAAAAAAAAAGCCTATCAGCTTTGGCTATAGCCTGTGAGAGAAGGGGAGAGGTGGTGAAGATCTGGGAAACATTTAATGTGTTTTTACCACTTTCTATGAGGAAGTCTCATTAGTTTCTTAAAATTCTTACTATATTTAGCTTAGAGACATTGTTTTGTGATTATAACTAAGTAGACAATATTTTTCCTTGGAAAACTGTTTGGCCTACATGGAAAATTCCAGTTCTTAAGAAAATGCATACTGTTATAAAGAGAACATTAACACGGTATTTTAAATTTATATGTGCATATATGCAACATGTATTTTTTAGGATTGGGTATAAAGGCCTGTCCTTTTGAACTGTCTTTTTCTTCTGGTTTACTTAAGAAATATTTGGTAGCATTTGCCTCACATCAGGTTCTATACTAGAAAGTAGACAAATAGAGATGAATAAAATGTTCTTTTTCTTAAGGAAGTTGAAATCTTAGACAGTAATAGGAATGTATAGATAATATGCTCTTATAAATATTTAGTATTTTGAACAATGTTTTGAATACTAAACAGAAAAAAAAGAAAGTGGTTTATCAGGTTGGGGAGTTTGTATATTATGTATCAACTAAAGTCTTTGACCTGTGCCTTCTCTTTGTAAATCTAAATTTTGTAGTGGTTTGTATTTTTAATATTAATTTTGCCTTATAATTTATGTTTTTATGCTAAACTTTTGATTCTTTTATATTCAGCTATGAAAAAAAAGTGAAAGCAATCTAATTCTTGCTGGTTTTCATCAGCTGTGGAGATAGGACTGTGATTTTTCTAGTCAGCTAAGGTTCACTTGGATTCAGACTCGTAGTTGCTCTAGAACATTTCTTTGGTAAAATAGCTTAGGCCATTCTTGCTAGGAAGAGAAAGACTCAGCTGCAGTGAATATATATGTTCTGCTGAAAGGTGTGCTGGTGAGATTCATCTATTACATTTTTATCCTTTTTCTGACTTTGCTAATGTTGTCTCTGCCTACTTATAATATCTGTTCTTCAATCATGTATAATTTTCAACTAAAGAATTTGTTAGTAGCAGGCTTTTTTCTTTGACTATATCAGTTGCAATGCCAGAACAAAAACGCTTTGTTAAGAAAAGGCCAGTTGATGGAGAAACTTGTTTCAGGTGGAGATTTGTTTGTTTGTTTGTTTGAATTGGGTTCTGTTATTTTCTTAGGATTTTTCTAGTAATCTAAAGACTTAAAGCAGTCTGGTCACGTGTGTTGAGCCAGTAGAGTAACTTTAACATAATAGAGAAATAATACCTAAACCTCATTTGAAGAACTCATCTTGACATTTTTTTATATTAACACTGTCAAAAATATACCCCAAGAGTTGGCCTAAGTCCTTCTACATCATCATGTCCAAATTACAAGGGAAAAAAATATATAGTACAGATGGCAGCATCAAAATATTAGCTCTTTTAGCAGCTCTGCCAACGTTCCTTGATGGTAGCCAAACCAGTGCTCGCACGCCGTAAAACCTAGACTTCAGTCTGCTGCTTGTCATGGGTCTTTGGCACAAGTTACGTAGGCAGTTGTTAGAAAGTTCTGCAATTTTGCAAGATATTGTAGAAACATTGATTGTTATAATTATGAAGTAAATGGAACCATTCTGTTCAGGCCAACTACTAAAAGTTATATTCTAAGAATCCATAAATTGATTACTTGTGGTTTAAGCTATATTTTCTTGAATGAAATATGCTATGTGGATAGAGTTTCCTATGCTAGGGCTCATAAACCAATTTAACTCATACTGTGAATGACTCATGAATATTAGTATTACTAAACTTCGGGTTTTATGCATAATCAATCCTTGGTCCCCAGAGAGTGAATAAAAATATTAGCTTGTCTTTTTAGGGTCTAACAGCCTGTTTGGACATTTTTAAATTCCTATTTCCTATTTATGGCTATTATTTAGCCATATTACCCTTTAATCATAAGCTTAGATTTATGACTTTTTTATTTTTATGATTTATGTTATGAAAACAAACATAAGTTTTAACTATCTTATTTTGAAAATCACCATTTTCAACGTGAATCCATTGATCAAAAACTTTTTTTTTTTTTTTTTTTGGTTTTTTGAGACAGGGTTTTACTGTATAGCCATGGCTGTCCTGGAACTCACTCTGTAGACCAGGCTAGCCTCGAACTCAGAAATCCGCCTGCCTCTGCCTCCCAAGTGCTGGGATTAAAGGCATGCGCCACCACTGCCCAGCGATCAAAAACTTTTTTATGGTTTTGGAGTAACTTTTTTTAACCTTTTACTGATATATTTTTTTTTTTTTGGTGAGTTGCACATCATACATCCCACTCCCACGCATTTCC